CCGTCTCCATGATTTCCAGCCAACTTTAATCTGAAAAAAAAAAGTTCTTCCCGTTCATTATTAATGTTTCTGTTCCTAATTTTTGTGCCTTAGTGGCTTTATTGCCTTGCATAGGGTGATACAGATAAAAAGGAATTCATCTGTGTTATATATTTTTCATTCAAATTTTAAAAATTTCCCCATATACAGAGTATATCAAAAATATTTTTACAAAATTTGTCCGCAAAACCTTGAATTACTAAGTTTAAAGAGACTTTACAGTTGATGGCTCTGCCTTGCTCTGTAAACGAGGCTGCATTTGTCATTCGTGTACATTTGTGGCTAGTCTGTTTTCAGCGTATTCATACCGTGAGTAGGCAGATATAATTTTTACATACGGCCGCGTGAATAGTTATGAACGGGAGGCTGCACGGCCGTATCAGATTGCGTTTCTAGATCGATTGCAGCCGATTCATCCAAACTTTGCTGCTGTTTATCGTCACGTTGCTGAGATAGGATCCGTGGAACAATAAACTATGGATCGAGGAAGGCCGAGATCCGCTCATACACCTGATAACGAAGAACACATTCTAAAGGCTATTGGATGCGATCCAGTTATCAACAGACATCAAGTGGCCCTAGCATGTCGTACATCTGATAGTACCGCGTGCATAGTACTTCAAGAGGAGCTCCTCTATATGTATCATTTGCAATATGTACAGGGTCTTTCGCCCTCTGATCGCTCAGCACGGTAGAACTTTTGCCGATTGTTTATTGCACAAACTGCCGATCGGTTGTTTGTCTCCTCGGTCTTGTTCCCGCATGTAGCAATATTTGAAAGGGATGGAATGACAAATTTACACAACCATCATGGTACTATACAGGCTAGAAACCGCATCAGTTTACAATTAATGCGTGTGCTGGAATTGTAGTTGACTGTCTGGTAGGTCCATATGTTCTCCCAGCACGTCTTACAGGAGCTAACTAGAGGGACTATATTTCAAACAGACTTCCAGACTTGTCAGAGGATGTACCATTACTAATACGAAGACCCATGTGGTTCAAAGATGGATAATCAGGGAAAGACTGGTCACATGGCCTGCACGTTCCACCGATCTCAGTCCTTTGGATTTTTTTTCTGTTTGGCCACCTAAAACAATACAGCAGACATTAATAATTTAGAGACGCTCCATTAATCATGTGGTCCTGCGAAACCATTCGACATCGTGTGAGAATATTAGAAAGTGTCCGCCCATCAAGGATCCGACGGCTGCATGCGTGCACAGAAGCAATCGGAAGTCATTTTGAAAATGTATTATCAGTTGCTGTGTTGAGGTACAACGATGGCCTTTTGGACATATGTTTATGGGGATAATTTATTTTGTTTTGGTGTCTAGAATAGGCCCCAGAGTTTGTCAAAGTATTTTTGGATTATAGCTCGGATTGTACATTTAATAGCGTCTACCGTAAACTTTAAACTTAACTCTGAAACGAAGGATTTATCGACATATGTTAATAGGAACTTTTCCTCGTTTTCGATATTAGAATCCGCACCCAAAGTTTGTAAAAATATTTTTTATTCACCCTGTATAAGCATTTCTTCTTTTTTTTTTTTAACCGTTGTCTTTGTATGGAGAGAATTTGTATCTATTTTATCAAATTTCAATCATGCGTTATAATGAGCATCGGTATCGTCTGATACTTCATATTACTACAATTTATTATTATTATTATTATTATTATTATTATTACTTATAATTAATATTATTATTTATTAATTATTATTTATTATTATAATTAATAATTACTTATTATTACTGATTATAATTACTATTATTTTTTATTAATTATAATAATTATTATTATTAATTATATTAATATATTTATATTTTACATTATTATTAATTATAATTAATATTATTGTTAATTATTATAATTATTAGATATAATTGATATTATTAGTTATTAATTATTATTATTATAATTAATTATAATTAATAAGTATTTATTATTATTATTAATTATAATTAATATTATTATTATTAATTATAATTGATATTATTATTAATTATAATTAATAAATATTTATTATTATTATTAATTATAATTGATATTATTAATATTAATTATAATTGATATTATTATTATTAATTATAATTAATATTATTATTAATTATAATTGATATTATTAATATTAATTATAATTGATATTATTATTATTAATTATAATTAATATTATTATTAATTATAATTAATATTATTATTATTATTAATTATATTAATGTATTATATTAATATTAATATTATTAATTATAGGTAATACTATTATTATTATTAATTATAATTAATATTACTATTAATTATAATTAATATTATTATTATTAATTATATTAATATATTATATTATTAATATTATTAATTATAATTAATATTATTATTATTAATTATAATTAATAATTATTTATTATTATTATTAATGATAAAGAAAAATTTTAAAATCTTTCTCTCAGTCTTTCTTTTTAGGTTCTTTGTATTTATATTCAAAAACAGAAAATTCAAACGGTCTTAGAATTATGACAAAAATACCTTTTTTTTTTTAAATAGATGTCTTGCCGTTTATATAGATTTTTTTAGAATCGTCTCCTCAAAGATGAGGACGAAACTTGAAGCAATAGAAACGTGGTTCTACAGAAGGATGCTGGGGATATCATGGACCAAACATCTAAGCAACGACGAAATTTTGGAGAAAATGGAAACAAAAAGTAAATTCATACTTAACATCATGAAGAGACAGCTGAAATTTCTGCGACAAATGAGGAAGGAAGGTCTGGAAAATCCGATACATACAAGACAGATTGAAGGCAAGAGGGTCAGAGAAAAACAACGCATAACTTTCTTGATGCGTTTGAGTAAATGGATGACAGGACAGGGTTTAGGAGAGATAACAAAAAGACAAAATTCGTTAAGAGCTACAAAGGATAGGAAATTGTGGAGAACCATGATCGGCACATAAAAAAAAGAACACCTCTGAAAACTTTATATCCGACTTGTGTTCGACAATTTTCATAATCATTGTTTTTCCTAAACGTTTTAGTGAAAGAATTATTCATTTCTTCACCGCTTTGGATAATCAAGATAATCTTTGTGGCGAACTTGGCTCATTCGCTTTTCATTCCATTTTCCCCTATCAGAAACATAATTTGCCGGTGGTGTAGCTGGCCTTTAAGTCTTCGCCAGCTGCTCATTATTTACAAAGGCCATATAACACCACATTACAGTCAATAATATGGCCACTTCCTATTAGTCAATTCTTGGCACTCAATCCCGGGGACCTTTGATCGTATTCCAGAATCGGCTGACTTGGACTCTTTGAGCAAAAGAAAATAGTCTACTCACAGACACATATAGCTCTGTACATAGAAAAATTATTAGGTATATTTATGGATTTAGGAACGTCCGTATATATGAATCATAACATTCATGTGTATATATATATATATATATATATATATATATATATATATATATATATATATATATATATATGTGTGTGTGTGTGTGTGTAATGTACTGGGTGTAACAGCAAAATTGTCCAAATCGTGTAACAACATAATTGTTCATCCCACAGAATGTTTACTATCTAAAAAAACACTAAACTTATTGAGTTTTTTAGTTTTTCAGATAAGACGTTTAGCCATCTTGAAACCTTTTTGTCGTAAGAATCACCGAAAAAACTTTTGATTTATTCAGCTAGAAAGAGAACAGGCTAAAATAATCTTGTGTCAACCCCACTGTCTTCCGAACTGAGCAATGGTGTGAGGAAAATATTATTCAGGTCTTCAGTAATCGTACCAACATTCATACTCTGGCTTCCATATTCAAATTCTATTCAAGAACAATCAAGAGAACGATGAATAAGTTTAAAAAAGAGAAAACAGTAGAGAGGAAAACTGGATCAGTAGGTCACAACAGGAAGATGGATCATCATTTCAAATTAGATTAAGGGTCATCCATGATGTGGCTTCAGCGCATTTAATCACATTTTTCGCGATGCATTGGCTTACATCTACCATGAAAGATAAATAGGTCGAGGAGGACCGGTTTTATAGCCTGCACATTCCCCGACATAAATCCTTTCGATTTTTTTCTGTTTGGTGCAAGCAGTAGACAATAATAATGCAGAGGCGCTTCCTCAACGTGTCATGGGGGCCTGCGAAACAATTCGACACCGTGAGGGAGTATTTGAAAGGCTCATCAGTCAATGATCCCGAGGGTGAATGCGTGTGTAGAAGCAAGTGGAAAACATGTTGAACATTTGTTATGAGTTGCTGTTTTGAGGGACAACAATTACCTTTTAGGCATATGTTTATATGGATAATTTATCTTGTTTTGGAGTCTGGGATCCTCTCCCAGAGATTGTAAAAGTATTTTCGATTGTATCTTGGATTGTACATGTAACAGCATCTACCGTAAACTTTAAACTTAATAACTCAAAAACGAAGAATTTGCGGACATATTTGTCTTTGTTTTTTGTGGGAGAAGTCGCAACGAAAGTTTGTGAAAACATTTTTGATACATTCTGTAAATATTTACTGCCAAAGTTTTGTTCATAATTTGCAGAAGGTTAACAATTACGAGAGATAAATAAAGAAGTCAGGAAAGTCCAACGTCCGAAACGTTTTGACAAAACAAAATTGGAAATTCAGTTAATATTTGTATAATTATGATAATTCCTTATTTAAAATAATTAAGATGAAAACACTTTCAAGATCGAGTATTGGTATAAAATATATATGAACAAATTAATCTATCTATCTATTTTTGTTCGCTGATATCAATTGTATGAGAGCATATATGTTCATTTATTATTTTCTATTTCTGGAATGCGAACATAAAACTATTTACGCATGCGCTTGGCAGGCCTGCCATATATTTAATGGACAGCCATAAACTCACCCGAATGCATAATCTTTGCTAGGGGTCCTATTTAATCTCATGGAAGATATCGTCTAAATGTGTGAATGTCATATCCTTCTTCGATATTTCTCTTCACTTTCGTATCAGAATATTTTCATAAATCATTTTTCCTTCTCTTTTTCCCCACTTTTTTTTTGTGTTACAACGTCGGTGTTTCGACTTTTCTCTACCGAATTCAATTACCGTAGACTGACAGCCTTCTTTTCAGACGTTAGTTTCTCATTGAATACAAATCTTAGTTGCCGAGACACACAGTGAACGAAAATCTTGGTTGAACTTTGTGAACCGTTTCTTGTCGACAGAAGCCAATCCCAACGTCGAATCATTTGGCCCGAGGAGATTCTCTTTGCCTGTTATAAACTCAATCAAAAACCTACTAGATAAGTAATGAACACGTCAACTGATGATATGTAATCATAAACTGGATTAGTTCTCTGACTGGTCACCATCAGCAGCAGCAGCGGTTGATCAATAACACACCCCAGTTCACAGTAGGAAACCGACTTATTAGCACTGTATAGCATTAAATGAATTGTTATTAGAGGAATATGGATAAGGTGAATGATTGACGGATGCAAAGTATGGAAGCTTCGTGATTTAATAATACTACTTGTCACGCAAAAGGAATGCGCTTTTGGTGCTGAAAGTTGAATCGGTGAGCCTGGTTCGAATTCCGGGCTCTTCTCTTGCGTCCCCATTCGTATATTGCGATGACATTTCTTCTTTCTCCTTTTCCACCAGATATGTGGTAAATAGCTGGGTAGATAACTGGGCCCTTTAACATTCAAATCAGAAGAAAGGGAAGAAAACGTGTCGAAACCACGCAACGGGAAAGCATATCACTAGCATTTCCACAAAGTCATAACCAAGTCAATGATAACAAAAAAGAAAAAAAAAATCTTTGGATCGCCTTTGGACAATGTAAACATCTGATAAAAAAAGTCTGAACATAAACATAAATACGCATCCATCTATACGCATTCACCTTTTGGACAGAGTTTATATGTTTGCTTCTAAGTAGGGTTATTTTTCTAGTCGAATTCACCCCCATGTAAGGCTGCGAAGCCACTAAGATACATGGGATTACTGTGTGCAAGAATTAGAAAAAAGAAACATTACTGAGGAGCAATAATAAAAAAAATAGCAATCAGGCGGACAGTAGATACCGATTGATATTGCATTTAAAAAGTTGAAGATCAAACTCGACTGTAAAACAAGACACCAGAAAAGATTTCCATAGTTGAGATAGTATGAGAAAAGAAACTGTTAGCATAGAACATACGGTTATATCTGGCAAACTCAACTGTAAAGCGATGGGACCTTTTTGCCAGTCTAATACTGTGCTTAAATTCATAAAGTCTAGGTATCATAATGATGAGTTAATCCGAACAATTACAATGGAAATATTTATAGAAAAGGCACATAGAAGCAATGGTGGGGAAAGTGACCAAAGCCGAGATGACAGGCCAAGACCAATAATATTGCTGATTCTTCTTTGAAATTTATCAGGAATCTCTAAATATATAGCAGGTGAATCGGAGCATGTGATGTAAGATAGATTCTGGAGAGAAATATTGTCTAACACGACACAGTGAACCAACTTTCTTAGCAGCAGACCTAGAATTAAATTATAAATTTTTAGAAAATTGCAATGATTATAGAATTTAGGAAATATTTTAAAAGAAAATAAAGACTATGAATAAAACGAAAGAAATAAGCAATTAATTACTTCTGTTTCAGAATTGTCTTTTTATATCATTGACATCATTTATAAATATTACTACCTTTTTTACTAAATGTTTACTCAGTACAATGCCCAGTAGCAACGTAGGGTAAAAGGCAATTAAATAAGATTGTTGTAAGGACATAGGAGGGAGGGTGGCAAGTAAGTGAAGATTATGAGGATAAAGTAGCGGTTGAACCTATATGGAAGATTTTAGTGTTTTGGGAAGCATCATCTCGGGAGTCTGTCCCACAAATTTAGAGGCTCCTGCGAAGAAGCAGTCTTAATGGAACATTTTTTAAAAAATTTCTGAACTGGTTGAACAAAGAAATGTAACTTGTCAGAACATTGTCTATGGAAATAGCGATAGTTTAGCAAGGCTCTTGCCACGTTGCGTCGGTAGGGAAAATATTGTAAGGTGGAAAATAATTCATCGCCTCAAAGTCCGCGTAAGTGATTTTGAAATCTGTCATGGCTAGGAAGAGTGGATTGGCAATAGTCAATTCTTGGTTTGATCTGATTCTTGCAAAGTTAGATCATAGCAGGTAGAATCATTACTTCGGTTCCATAATAATGTCTACATTAGCCTATTTTTATATTCATTTCTTGTAACACTTATTAATAAATATTACTACTTCTGTTCCATAATATTTGCTACATTTGCTTATTTTTCTTTTTAGTCGGGTAATTGTAATATTAGCCGTTTCCTTATAAGGAAACATGCAACTGGTTGAAATTTATGCAATAATTCTCTTGACACATTTTTTTCAGGAAAATCAGTTATTCTCGCCTAGGAGCTGTTATCATCGCTCTTTCCAGTATTGATAAAGGTTTCCTTTCTAACCTTATATCTGAAATAGTGTGAAATGTCAAAGTCTTGCGATATCTGTCTTAGCTGTTGTTGGTTTTGAAAGTTCTCAAACGATGTGGTTTTTGTTATTTGGTCCAGTTCTTTGCGTGTAGCGGCACTAGACGAGGTTTGAAGAAAGTTGGTCTTCTCCAAGACCATCAGGCTTCACATGATCAAAGCCATTTTTAACTAATTATCTTAGAAATTATTTGTATACAGCTGACAGTATAGATATTTGTCCCAGTGGATAAAAATGTGACTCGATCCAAAGAGTTATGACTTCAATACCGGGCCACAGCAGAGATGAACAAAAACTTGGAGATTTCAGTTACTAAAGAGATATAAACGAAACTGAGATATTCAGAAAAGGCATGGCACGTAGAACTAGAACAATCGACCCAAGTGAACAAAATAAAGGGTTTAGTTCGAAATTTCACCATATATAACCTGAAGAAGTCCGGGGAGTACAACGACCGAAACGTCATGAATAACAATAAAGATGAGGACAACAGCCAGAACAATGATATTTAAACAAAATAGTCAAAATATGTACAACAAAGGAGGTGACAGCTTAAACAGACACCAGAAGAATATGGTTTAAATATGTTAGGATTTTTATCATTGGTGGTCAATATATTTGAATGCTGCATAATTTACAAATACTGAATATAGTGAGAAGGTGAGTAATGTCATGTTTGTGAAATTACTACGTCATGGACGGAGACGTCTAATGGATTTTCAAGCTAATAGTTATGCCCTTGATCTCACCGACACGGAATTCTATTGCTGACTTTAGATTTCTTGATATGTAAGTGTACAGAAACCACTTTACCTGTGATTTTAAATTTCGGCATCAGTCCAGTGCAAATTGCGGGTGCCAGACGATAAGTCATCAAGAAACTACATTTTCTACCCTTTCCGTTTTGTCCATCTGAATTAATTTAATACCAGTCAAACTGTCTTTAGACACCAAACACCACCCGAAAATAAATAAATAAATAAAAAAAAATAAAAAAATAAAAATGAATTAATAAATAAATATAAAAAATTAAAATATATAAAATTAAAATAACATTCTTTCTTTTGTTTTTTTTATAGTTTCTACATTATTTATTTATTTATCTATCTATCTTATTTTGTTATCTATCTATCTATCTATCTATCTATCTATCTATCTATCTACACAGGTCTATTTATGCCGGTCTACTTATATCTAAAAATGAATTAATAAATAAAAATAAAAAAGTTATAAAATAAAAATGACATTCTGAAAACCTCTTTCTTTTTTTATTTTTATTCTTTTATTTTTTATTTTTATTTCTTTAAGAACAAAAATATGTCGATGAATGAAAAAGAGGAAAAAGGATTCCATGTAACGCGATTCGTCCTGTAAGAGGATTTCATCGGACTAAATTAATATTCTTGTTGATGGAATTTTATTTATATATATATATATATATATATATATATATATATATATATATATATATATATATATGTGTGTGTGTGTGTGTGTGTGTGTGTGTGTGGGAAGATAAATGTAGACGTCGTCGGTTATAATTAAGAAAAACGCTTATATCTCCTCCTCCATCAATAAGAACATTACATTAATCCGATGAAATCCTTTTAGAAAACGAAACGCGTTACTTAGAATTTTTTTTCATTTTTTTATCTATCTATCTATCTATCTATCTATCTATCTATCTATCTATCTATCTATCTATGTCAGTTTATTCATATCTATCTACACACACACACATATATACATATATAAGATAAAGAACAAATAGGAAACATTTATAAATCTATCATGTTTCACTTTTATTAAAGCTTCATTAGAGAAAATGAACAAAATAATAAAAATCAAAACAGGTTAAATTGATAAATGTTTCCCATTTGTTCAAAATCTTATCATTCTGCTGGACCCGATATATATATATATATATATATATATATATATATATATATATATATATATATATATATATATATATATATATATATTCTGCTTCTGGTGAAATTTTTAGAAGATTATACTTTTAAATGACCAAACTATCAAACAAATGTAAAATGAATACAATTGAGATTTGTATAATTAACTTAATACCCCAAAGTTTCTTAGCAGTCAGCTTCTTGCATGGATACGTGCATAGCGTAGCGGTCATTGGGACAGAAGACTCATCGGCGAGCAAACAAACGCTGGCCAATTCTGATCCGTTTAGTTTCAGATAAATAACTTTGGAAAAGTTAGGAATCTATCATTTCTTCCCCCCGTTATGGATTAAATAGCAGTGTAAACTTGATTCTGGTCTTGAAAAGTGTTTCTCTGAATTCCATAGCAAAGGGAAACAACTCAATTATCTTAACCTAAAATTCCTGACAATTTATAGCTAATAAAGAAAAGAAAATCTTTGGAGAGCACCTATGTCCCGAAATGACACAGCATATTTATTAAGTCTATTTAGTTTTTACTATTTGCTGCACAGATTAACAATTCAGAGCTCTTTTTTTTTGGCAACCAGGTGTCATCGGAAATGGCTCTCTACGCTTTCCTTATAATATCTGTAAATTGCAGTGTCTATTTCTAGAGAAATATGGCGGAGTGGTTTCCCGTGGCCTCTCTAGAGATAATAAATCCAGGTTTGTTTTCTTAGGTTGTCATACTGAAAATAAATATGCTCGTCCGCCCTAATATATAATTCACAGCTGGAGGTTAAGGCAGAGAAGAGACTAATTCTGCCTTTACTCAGAGCATTAGTGCAAAGTGGTCCGAATCAAGAGCAGTGATTCGGATCTGCAGCGGACATAGCTACCTAACTCGTTGAGGTTTCTGAATCATCGCGTTAGTAGTGAAGGCTGATGAGTTTCCTTTTCCTTCTTCGTGTGTCACCCTTGTCCGTCACTTTCAAACTTCTCGATCCATTCAGGCACACTTCTATGCGGTAGCGGACTGTCGACGTAATGTGAAAAAAGAAAAATCAACAAAAAAAAAAAAAACATCGATGAATTTCATCTTCTGGTACATCTACCGACAGAAGAAATCGGATTACGGCTCTTTGTTCGTCTTTGGTACGCACTGCTAGCGGAGCGGCCATGTAATAGCAAGAAAGAAAACTGGTGCGATCAAGCTCAAACCTCGATCAGGTGACCACAATAGTACCAACTATAAGTACGCATGAGCAGAAGGCAGTGTGACAAATCCAATGATATGTTATGGCGAAAGTGCTGATAATGTTTAAGTTACTCTCGTAGTAATGATAAATAACCTACAACACACACCCCAGAAAGTTATCAATTATTATATTAAGTAAACATTACATATACAGTCATATAAATATATATTCTACATCCGCATTCTCTCACATCCTTTCAGGACGTAGACGAACATGATTCTCCTCAGCTTCACGTGTCTTTTTGCTCTAAGTAATATTTGCCCTGTTTTATTAATTGTTCTGCTACCCTACTCCGCAAAGTAGGTTTCTCAGTGCTTACCCATGATTATCTTGAATGTACTATGCCCTTTAAGTGTTGTCTTCTTTCTTCATTATAAGGTCTCAAAATTTTAGCTAACTTTTGTTGCCATCAGTTAATTTATAGTTTCTTAAAACATCCTCATTTTTGTCCATGGATCTCTCAGAATTTCATCGTAGAAGCATGTCTCTTTCGCTTCAAATCTCTTCTTTATCACTGAAAAATTATTTAACATTCACCACCATATGGGAAAGTGGATATTACATGTTCCGATCCCTTAATAGCAAAATAATATAACTGAAAAGCCACCTTCCTTATTCCGATGCAGCTTTTCTTGGTTTTGACGTTCACAATGTGTAACAGTGAGCTGGTCCTTTTACTGACAAGAATGCATCCCGACTACTATCTGTCAATGATTAGCACTTTCTTCTGGCTTTGTATAATACGCTTTTCTGTCCATCTTCTGAACTTTTCATCAGCACTGTCGTATGCATAGCATATGGTTCCGATGAGCTTTCCTCTTTGCTACCTCGACTTGGCGAATTTAATCGTAGTACGTGTTTGGCATCTAGGTCTCATAATTTAAGGTTGAAGTAACTAAAAGGAAATGTGAGTTCTATTCTAAGAGTTTCTTCTCTTGCACTTCTTGCCTGTGGAATTCTCTTCCGGTTTCTTGATTTCCTGTCAACTACCATCTTTAAAAGTTTAAATGCAACATCAATCGTCGTCATCTGCCTTTTTGATCGTATTCTTTGTATTACTCTTTCTACACAATAAAGTATTTCTTATTTACTTTTATCCCCGGTAGCCCTTGCGCCTTAGTGGCGTTATGGCCAAGATTGAGTGAAATGGATAATATATATATATATATATATATATATATATATATATATATATATATATATATATATAGTTTAAGGTGTGCTATATTTATGGGATAAAGCGCTCAATATCAGAGATAGAGCGTATGTAAATATAAAAGTGAACATTGACGTCAACACTCAGAGACGACAGACTGTTTCATGATAGGCGCAATCGTCAGGCGGCCTTGACGATTGCGCCTAGCATATATATATATATATATATATATATATATATATATATATATATATATATATATATATATTTATACACAATAAAATCCATAATCGCCTCATATGGGGAACAAGCTTATTTCAACCGACGAAAAAACTAAAATTTGTCAGTCTTATTCAACCCCAGTATAGACTGAGTTCGTGGCGGAATTAGAAATTTAACTGCCAAAGGTACAAAAAAAAAAAAAGTCAAAAAACCAATACAGAATTTTTGCATTTCGATGTTTCATTCAGACGAAAGGCATGAGACAGTGGTCAGCGGAGGATGGAATGTATTATTCCTGAAGGGAAGAGGTTTTCTAAAATTAAACCCGGATATTAACCTGATGACATTTAATTGAGGTTACAGGAAGAATGAAATGTTCATTTGAAACTAAGAGTGGAATAAAACAGGGTTTTGAAAATGTAAATATATAGATGAAGTTATATTTAAAAATACAAAATCATACTTAAAAGTAAAATTCCAAAGACAATTTATATTTAAAAATGACATTCAGATTATTTCTGTGACGTAGCAGCGCAAGAACTAAGAATCATATTCTTTTGTGGCGATTACGCTAGTGAGAAAAATGTTATTTGTCTTGAAGATTAGGATTCAAAACTTTATTTATTTTATCTTTGCACGAAGGCTGGCAATTTCCAGGAGGAAATCTACTTAACCGCTGACGATGTGTAAAAGAAATTTATTTTCAGTGTTCATAATTAGAATTACAACAAACGTTTTGCTGTGTGCAATCTTGCAATAGACGGAAAATGTTACACGAAAGCCCAAAACGCGAAATAGGATATCGAAAAAAGGACTTCCAGAAAATAAACAAAATATTAAGTATCTGTCTATATTTCCGAGATGAGGTATTATGTACACTATTTACATTATTCCGAATATTGTCCTCATCTTTGTCATCATATTTATTACAACGTTTCAGCTTTTCAGTATCTGACTATATTTCTGAGATGAGGTATTCTGTACATTATTTACATTATTCGGAATATTGTCCTCATCTTTGTCACCATATTTATTACAACGTTTCGGCGTTCAGTATCTGTCTATATTTCAGAGGTATTATGTATACTATTTACATTATTCGGCCTATTGTCCTCATCTTTGTCGCCTTATTTATTACAACGTTTCTGCCGTTGTATGCTCCGGCCTTCTTCAGGTGGTTGGAATGTCGAAATGAACCTTTTATTTCGCTCACTGGGGTAGACTGTTCTAGTTCCACGTGCCATGTCTAATGGATGTCAGTTATCAGTTATCTCCTGTTACTTACCCTCTCCAAGTTCTTCACTGCCTTAACCGGGTATTGAACTCACATTCTTTGTGTCCTGTCACTGGATCTAGCTAACGCCTTTATCCACTGTGCTATGTCTCCTTGAGATATCTGATAAGCATTAAACATGGCACGTGGAACTAGAACAGTCTACCCAGTGAGCGAAATAAAGGGTTCAGTTCGACATTCCAACCATCTGAAGAAGGCCGGAGCGTACAACGGCCGAAACGTTGTGATAAATATGGCGACAAAGATGAGGACAATAGTCCGAATAATGTAAATAAAGTATTAAGAACAGAAATATATCGTTAGAAAAAATAAAAAGTTGTTGAACTGCTACATAATATGAATCCTTGTACATAGCAGTGAACGCTTGACAATTTCTTTTTCACAGATGAAGAGGGTACTATAGGAAACAGAGATACGCTTCTATGTAAGTATTCTGAAAATACCATAGACAGAGCATGTGAGCTACGCTGAAGTTTTTAACGAAAACTGAAACAAAAGAAGAACACCTGTACTTCTCTTGACAAGAAAATAGTTGATATGTTTGGGACACAATAAAGAAAGAGGACCCTGAGAATTTGACGCTTACAGCGTATATAGAAAACAACATGGGATTTGGAAACATCGATTAACCTACCTAATGGGTCTGTCTAAATGGAAGAAGACTAAATTAAAATAGACTTCGAAGGATAGTAAAGGGGGAAAATTGTGAAGGATAGGAAACTGTGGAGAGCCATGACCGCTCACGTCTTGAAGTGACACGACACATAGAAGGATTGTCTTGCGCGTAATGAGAAGTATACCTTATAGGGAGGATCTTTTTTGACCGATTTCTATATATATATATATTTTAAGTATGATCACGTGTTGTCATCTAGGTAT